TATATATATATATATTGTCTGTAAAGAAAAAAAGAAAGAAAAAGAGGGGTTACAAGAGAGTAGCAAATAATAAAGAGAAGGACGGGAGATCAGGACGACAGATGTTAGATAGGAGGAAAGAAGGAGCAAACCACACCAGAGCACCTGCCAACCACCTGCAAGTAATACGAGGCTTCTTTCCACGAATCATGAATGTTAAATATCAGAGAGTGGGTGGTTGGCGGGTGCTCTGGTACGGTTTCTTCGTCCTTCTTTTCTATCAAGCATATTTTGTCGTCCTTTATCTCTCCCCGTTCTTTATTGCTTTGTTACTTTCTTGTGACACCTCTAATCTTCGACACCTATATGACCAAATTTTGTTGTAAATTCCATAAAACTCGTACAAAAAACAAAAACAAAAACAAAACGAAGTCAAGAGAGAAGCCCCCTCCCCCCAAGCGGCACACATCCACAAGCTAGAGAAAAAGCTTTTAAATGTTCAGAATGTGGTAAACCCCTCTCTTCTAGAATGTGTCTCATTGGCCACAGCAGTAGCCAATATTCATCTCAAACGTTATTTTTTCTTTCACTACATAAGGCTTAATCCACGCCAGAAATTGACAGACGTACTTAACAGTCTGAAAAGGCCTAGTTTCTTGCAAACTCAATATAATTGTCGAAGATAACAGAACACTAGAAGTTCATTTTAGAGGTGCAACTTCAGAATTAAACGTCCAACTCCGAAAGTACATCCCAAAACCAACAATGATTGAATGGGGAGTCCAAAAGGTTCCCCAAACAACGTTGAGCCGGTGGGAATCTTGGACAGCGTCATTACAATGTTAAAAAATCCCCCCCCCCCACCCAACCCCCACAAGAAAAAACAAAATAAAACAAACAAATGACAAAAACAATCAACAAGCAAAAACACAAACAAATAAACAGGCAAAAATATACCCCAAAAAATACATAACAAAAACAACAAAACAAAACAAAACAAAATCCACCCCAAACAAATAAACAAACAACCAAACAAACAACCAAACAAACAACCAACCAAACAACCAACCAAACAAACAACCAAACAAACAACCAAACAAATCAAATCAAAAACAAAAACCCGCAAGGGGAAGGTAGGCAGTGGCTGTTTGATAATTTACATCTAGTCGCCGTTTTCGTTTAAAAGTAAGAGTTTTACGGCACTTGCAACACAATAAGGTGCTATAAGTGCCGAAGATTAGAGGTGTTACACGAGAGTAACACACACATAAAGAAGGAGAGTTAGGACGATAGATGTTTGATAGGAAAGAAGGAGCTTTCCACTTACCATAAAATCCTCCTGGCGTCTGCAGGAAGCCGTTGTGGAACAGGTTGTTCAGGGTGGCCCAGTAGTGCTCGTCTGGACTGTATGTGGCCTCACTCCAAGCCAGCAGATCCTTTGACCTCTGGTCAGTCAGTGCCCACTCTACGAACTCTCTACTGAAGCTGTTGTACGCCATGCCTGCCAAAACACAGTTGTTCAATATCTATCTATCTATCTATCTATCTATCTATCTATCTATCTATCTATCTATCTATCTATCTATCTATCTGTCTGTCTGTCTGTCTGTCTGTCTGTCTGTCTGTCTGTCTGTCTGTCTGTCTGTCTGTCTGTCTGTCTGTCTGTCTGTCTGTCTGTCTGTCTGTCTGTCTGTCTGTCTGTCTGTCTATACTATGTATATGTATACGTATGTGGTATATTAATATAATATGTATACGTATATGGTATATTTATATATGTATACGTATATGGTATATATTATAATATATAAATATAAATACATATCAGTATTATAGAGGACTATACATAAAGAAAGGAGTGGAATCTGTCCAAGGCGATCAGTCATTGTGGAGGTGAATGAAGAGCTGTCATCCGGAGAGACTCAATGATAAAATATGTCCTTGGAAATAAAGCAGTTCCATTGGGAAAGTGGATTGCCTTCTAGCACTAGACAAAAGGATTTTTGCAGATATATTATTATTGCATTCTGACTGTAAGTGTTGGGCGTCGATATTCTATTAAGCACTTTAAATCAACAATTACAGGGGCTTACTCACTTTAAAAAAATTGAAATTCAGAACCCCCCCCTCCCCCTAAAAAAAAACAAAACAAAAACAAACAACAAAAACAAAACAACAACAAAAAGAAAAACCCATACGTCCAGGCCTTGACATGAATACCGCCCTCGATCGAATGTTCTCTGGAGGACACATTTTTGAAGAGTTGGCAAACAGATGTTTTCCAGCTCATTTATTTTGAACAACAATTACAATGACAAATGACATATAAAAACCCCCCGAAGCAAATGTCTCTTTCTTTTTCTTCTCTTGAGTACATTGTTTGGCATGCCTGTATCGTCTGCCTCCTAGTTGAACACGATGTTTTCTGATCTATCATTGTTCTCTTCAGGGAATCTGGGGGCTCTCTAACAATGTTCTGTTGTCTGCTTTCGTCTCCACTTTCTGCCCCCACCCCTCACCTCCTTTGCCCCCTCCTCTGGGCTCCTGACTCTTTTTTCAGCAGCATTTCTACTGCTACTTCTCGGCTCATTCTTACTGCTGTCTTTCAGCCACACCCCCGATCTTTTAGTAGGAAAGATCTACACCCAGCCTTCTCTGATATGGGCGAAAAAACACGGTGTTCCCAAGTGTAAGTTGCGCACATTAAAGATCCCTTGGTGGTCCAAAATCGATAATAGTAGGATTCGGCCGCAACCCGGACAAAATAAAACATTTCCAACCAAACTGAAAATGTTTAATGTGTCCCGCGCGCTCATAATATGACTTTATGCAGTTCCGAGCGCCGTAAAAAACAAAACACACACACACACACACACACAAGGAATGTCTAGACGTTTTAAGTCGAAGCTTGAGTTTCATGTGCATTTGTCCTGTAGGCTTACAAGGTTAGGGATACAAGTGTTTGCTTATAATGTATGTATTGTTACGCTGAAATATAATGTTTACGGAGCCCTTCATCTACGCATTAGACAATTTCAGTATACACACATAGAGAAAGAGACAGACATATAGACACACACACACACACACACACACAC